ATCTGTTCCCCGCGCGAGGAAACTGGTTTGAGCCACCTTAAGGTGTATTAAAACTCATGAATAAGTCGTGGATTTTCTGTAAAGAGTTTATGAGAACGTGCGATCAAACTTACTTCACCAAGAGATGAAAGGCAACGATAACAGCAAACAACAAATATAAAGATTAAACAAATATTAGATCAAATGATTACCGTAAAGTAAACTGAAGCGGGAATTTTCAATTAACTTATCACTGAGCAATGGATCGAAAATAGCTGTAACATGGCTGGCAGTCACAGGTAAGGCAGATTACAGCGGATTACGTTTAGCGAGACATCTGATTGATAAAGGAGCTAGGAAGCCCACTGAAGGCGAAAAATGAAAGAATAGAATACATTTAAATAGAAAAGAACCAACTAAGACCACTACAGAACCTCATCTCATAGCATCGTAAGAACACCAAGACTAAGAAATGGCCCCAAACAATTCCAAAAAATAATAAATAGCATCTTATGAATCGCGCGACTGAGAAAAGTTTGTTGACAATTTGTTGGCCGCCTTCGCTATCCAGCCTTTAACTATATAAAAACAGTTTCCTTTCATAAATTCTCACTGCACCGTACTTTGACTACTTCAAAATATCGTTAAAAAGGTTGTGTTTGTTCATCGGGGCAAAGCAGAATGCTCCGCTGTGATTGGTAGGTTTTCCACAGCTGTGATTGGCGCGTTTTGATCCTTGATGGAACAACCCACTGACATCGAGAATCAAAACGCGCTAATCACAGCTGTGGAAAACACACCAAACAAAGCGAAGCATTCTGCTTTATAAGAAGACCCGAAACCAGTCGACCTTATATATCGCCTGCATGGTGAAGACTTGTAGTATGCAGTCGGAACGTCGCGATTCACATCACAGGTGACCACATCGTGAGATAAAAGGATAATACATCATTATTATTGTGCCTTAAAATAATGACCTCAGTCTTTGGAAAAAGACCACGAAATGGGATAACACCAAAAAAAATGTGGTTACAGGAGATCCTTACTCGAACAATTTTTAAACATGTATGACTAGGACAGGACAGGACAGTGATAGTTGGAGACAACTACTGTTGTCACCACCCCTCTCAGTAGAGGAATCTTACAAATGTGGCTGTTTTAGATTCACAAAACATCTTTGATCTTAAGATCACACTCAGAACTACATCCAGAGTTTAATGAGTAAGTCTCAAATTGATTGTCTTTGCATACCAAAAATATTCTATTACTGCTACAACCCTTCTCCACATTTAACAAAAACTAATTTCCTCTTTTAGCACTTTAAGAAAAATTATCAATGAACTATTTTCCCAAAATAGTGAAACAATATTAAAATTGAATTCAGCATTAGGTCATAAAGGGTGGCGAACTTTCAACCCTCAAAAAGGTTAAAAAAATCCAAAATGGTTGAGATGATGGTTTAAAGGTGTGCATTACGAATAAGGCAACGTTGTACAGTTAACTGTTACAGTCTTTAAACCGCACAGCGACACAAAATTCTGCATAGCGACACAAAATTCACCGTATGATATTTTTGAAAAAAAATGCCTTTTACTGTCAGCGCCTTAGACGCCAATGCTATCGGGAATTCGCTCGGGTAAAAGAAAGATGTAAGGCAATTCCAGCGACTTATTGCGGGCCTTAATGGAATCCGAGATCTCATGGAGAGCGGTCTGGAAGCGACTCATTGCAGCATCTTCCTCGTCACCAGTCAAAAGGCTGTGTGTCATGTCGCCAATGAAACGCTATGGTAGGAAAAATAAGTTTATTGTTAGTACACTGGAAGCAAATTTGCACTTTTTAACACGGCGATGTTTTTGCAAGGGAAAACAATCATGAATTCCGAAACTGAAAAGAGTTCTCGCCTTTTTTTCAAATTTTAATTACATAGAAAACAGCTAATTTTCTAAGCGACACACATGGTTGGTTCTATCAGTTGTTCGTGAATGGAAAGTTCTTTGCACATTCATAAAGACCTATGATAAAAAGGCTGGGACCCTCACCAAATTTGAGGATCTTGGCAATACCTGAGCGAGAAAAAAGTTTGATCCTTTACGACAGCCAGGTTTTAAAACTGGGGTCTTTTTTTAAGTTATTTACATATTTTTAGTGGTAATCATATCAAATAATCAAATAATAAGGATAACAAATGTAATAGAAAACCAAGATGCAAGTCAAAAATTTATCAGGCAATTCTTGAGTGTTTGAAATTTACCTCATCCTCGGCAAATCGCGTCAACACGTAAAATAACGCTATTTGTTTGAGGGACTGACTCTTGCTTGGCAGCGTTTCAAGAATGGTCTTCAGCGATGTCTGGTTTTTCTTAGTTGGAGGTGGCTTACGCATCATGGAGGGAGTGAAGGGGATAAAGCCTGACACATCCAACAGACCAAAGTTCACTGCTGCATGCTGACACGAGCACGTGAACACCACGCTTGTGAGCAGGTTGATTAGTTGGTCACGTGTTTGCAAGGCACTTGGAACCTCATGATCATAGTCACCCTCTCTCACAGGGAGGCCGTTTTCATTGAAATCTTTAATCCAAGCTTGAAGCTCGACGTCCTTAGTAACATCGTCATCTGACTTGTAGTAAAGGGTAATGACTTCTTTGATGAAAGTTGTAATGGCTGACCATAGTCGGAGGGCATCATCCCTAGAAAGAGCAAAGTGGCTCATCATGTTATGTAAATTCACCAACAAATCTAAGTCAAGCAATCAGCTATTACATGTAAATCCTATTCACTTATATGGATTTTTTCAGCCAGTAACATCACGGAAGTGGACCTGACGGTGTGTATCAAATCAAACTGAAATACAATCCACTTAAAAAAAAAGATTTTAACCCTTTTACAGCCAATTTTCGAGTCTGCAGTGTTTCCTTTCTCGACATTTTATTCATTGGGATAAACTGCAATCATTGCGTTTAACTAAACTAAAAGGACCACAGCTGATTGAACGTTCTATTTAAATCAAACTATACAAATGTGCGCATACCGAATTCATAGAATTTCACCGAATCTTAGTTCTTTTTTTGTCTTTTTAGGTGGCACAAAATGTCTCAGATCTTCATAACTTAACTGCTTTGCGGAGATCCATACTTAACAAAATATGTTAAACCCATGAGTCCTTTCTAAATGTCAGTTATTGCTCTTGTAAACCAAGTCAGTTCATCTATAAGTCAATGAGTTACTGACCTGTAATAGAATTTCGGCAATTTATCTGGATCATCCAGACCTCTCTCGTTAAGCCCTTTGGGTAAGGAAAGCGTGCTCAACTTGAACGTGTGGTAACTTTTCTTCAGAAATTGTTTGGCAGGTTCATTCTTTTCTATGGCACCATCTTTGATTAACTTGTTGATCGCCATCACGGAGCGAAGGTGTGGAAATAAGAGTTGAAAAACAGGATGAATTGAGGGTAGCTGGCGCCAGACTGCCACTGCAAAGGCTTCCATCACCAAGTGGGTTTCAAGGAGATGACTCCGTGTCTGTAAAGGAGGATAAAAATGTCACCTCTTAACCTAACAGATCGATATATGATCAGACACGTATTTGGTACTCATTACCATTGTCAATGCCATTTGGTAAGATGGAAGCTCGCTAATCAAATAAAATGACGTAGCACCTTGAAGTTAATTTTATGATAAGGTTTGGTTACAATTTCATCAGATGACTTTTTCAGCCTCTCAAACGATACGTCTCATTTTCAATAATCATCGAAATCATGTCTGACTTTGATGGAACCTCTCCTTTTCCAATAAAAGAGCAAACGACAAACCCGTGAAATATCTAGTCTAAAATATGAATTGTTCTTCTACTTTTCCTAGGATCTTTTTCCAGAACCTATCCTTTTCAGTGTTTATTATTTTCTTTGTCTATTTATTCTAAGTAGACAGGACTGTGGTTACAATAGAACAGGTTAGCATGTTGAGCGATCGTTTACGACGAAAATCTTCGATGAGACGAAAACCGTTTTAGAAATCTTCATCGAAATCGTATCTCTCGGATAGGCAATCACTTGTTCCCAATAAGAAAATAAGACATTCTTACAAAGCAGAAAGGATATATGAACAATAAAAATTCAACAATGGAATACTATCATCTTCAAAATACCTGCTGAATTGTATTGTCAGCATAACGAAGCCACATCTTTGCCAGCAGCCAATCATATTGAGAATCACTTGGAGTCCATATTGGATTGGTGTTGCTTGGTTGCTGTAGCAACTGAATGGCAATTGGCACCAGGTCACCCGATTTGTTGACATAAAACAGCCCCAAAGGCTGGGCAGAGTGATTGCCCTCTTTTACTGGAATTCCTTCGAGCACCTTGTAATCCACAATGTAAACATAACCTGCCTGATAAAAATAAGCAAACTTTGTGTGAGAAAATGAATGCTTTGAAAGTGAGACGACAAGTCATTTTTCCAAGCTTATACTATTTGTTCCCAGTTTACATTTACCCATAAATGGTGAAATGACTGTCAAGAATTAGTTTAAAAAAAGTTTCTACAAAGAAGTCAAATGGAATAGGAGAAGCCTCTATCCAAAAAAAGGTTTTTTCCATAGAGTACAGGTGAAATACTTGCTTATCATAAAAGTAATCAGCACAATTTGAGGGACATACCTTCATCTCATCATGCAGCGTCTTTCCACGATCTAAAAATTTCTTTACCATTTCTTCAGTGACTGGGAAATTACTTGGTAATTTTTCACAACGTCGGATAACGTTAGGATTAACGCCGTTCAAGAACATTGACCCGAATACCTTGTCGGTCATCCATCGGTCATTCTCAACGATCTTCGGTACACCACCGTCACACGCTCTATGAAGGATCTTCTCAAAATCATCGAAATTATCCCAACTATCGAAAAGAGAACTCAAATAGGTAAGACCAAGGTCAATAGCCGCCTTGCGTTGGTTATCCTTAAAGGTGCCCCTGGCCTCGTCGGAGAACTGTGAATCTCTTGGGATATCAGCGGGTGTT